AATACTTTCATTACACCTATTAATTGTGTGGGCTTGACAAATTGCTTAATCTCATCTAAAAAATAGGGATACTAAAGCAACAAACCTGCTAAGTGTTGTGAGGATTAAGCAAGTTAATGCATGTGAAGTGCTTAGAACAGCACCTGGCACTTAGTAAATCCTCAATAAATGTCCCTAAACACCACATTCTCATTATAAACAAATAAGCAAAAACCTCTCCTGACAAAGGGACTTAAGACGTACCTCTTTTTGTTAAGGGAGGGGGAAAAAGGCATACTGTCAAATTATAACCACTTTCACCTAGTAGTTAATACAGGAAATTCTTATTCAGAGTTTTAGATCCATTCCCTCCTACCATTCACAAATAAAAGGAAGTAATTTAAAGAGCTTTTATCTATTTCAAAGTGTTCGGTGACTTCTGAATCAGCTATTACAAACAAAACGCCTGTGACATTCCAAAAATTGTGCTAGGTTCTAGGTGGATAAAGATATTTACAACAGTCCAATATATTAAAAATTCTAAGCCAAAGCTGAAAGAGAAAATATGCTTTTCCCGAACAAAATGTTTCAGCAAATGATCTTTATCATCAAGGTCAATCTACAACCAGCTGAAAAACTTAACAACATAGCACAGAAACAGCCTGTAGCACCATCTTTTACAGACCCTTTCAAGCTTCAGAGCAACCACTAATACTTTATCTCTGACTTACTGACTCAGAATTTCCAAAGGAGGATGAAGCATGGAAAATTACAAGCTGCCCAGGTAATGAACCTGGTTGGAGAACCACAGCTTTACTGCACTGTACTAAACTTAGAAGGGTGGAAAAATCAAGCTGTAATCCAGAACTCTAGTGCTGTAAAAATCCCACAGGAGATAAGACTGATGCTTTTCACTCTCACTCCTTGCCATAGATTATCTTTGTCCAGGAGCACAACTTATAGGTTATCAGGGGTGGTTCTTTTCTGCCTGCTTTAAATACTTGTGTATACTAATTTTAAAGTACAGTAAGTCAGAAAAAAAAGTACAGTAACTCAAAATTTTGACTGAAATAAGGGAAAAGTTCCATTTGACTAGGGAATCTAGTGTGGGAATTGAGGAAGAATTTTCCCTTTTCTGTGCACAGAACAAGGTGGGGAGTTAAAAAAATGACACAATGACAAAACAACTTCTAAGTGAATACTGTGTAATCAAGGTTAATACATCTGAATTGAAAAAACCCTTCATATACTGTTTTTCCTTCAAAACATCTTCTGTTTACTTTGCTTATTCCCCAAACTGTCTTTCTGAAAAAGATTTGGAAGTTTATTCAAGTGTTTTCAACTTACTTACTGAAAACATGTGATCTAGAAACAAGCAATAATGAATGTTATATTCTGTATCAGAGTTCTTCCTAAAGAGAATAGCTTAGAATTATGTTACAGATACGGTTTGATTACTTCCCCCCTCTCACTTAGGAAATTCTCTGCTTTTAATTAAAAGGATACCTGCAACATGGAAAAACCATACACATCAGTGAAGAAAAGGTGCCAGCCTGTAGTAGCCACTGTTACTTTGTCCACATACATACTATGCACACTCATACAATGCAGGCTTGAAATATTCAGGTATAGGTTTTCCTACACTTGAATTTTCTCATATTCACAAAACAGGAAGACAAATTATCGTGCAAAACAGTATCAGCAACTTTCAGCCACAGCATCAAAATAGGAAGTTAGCCAGCAGACACTTTGCAGCCAGATCCTAAATGAAAAGTCTCTTTTGTACAAAGAAAAATGTTTTGCTTTTGTTAAAAAAAAAGGCTGTAACTGGCAAACCTTTTTTTTCAATGCTTGCCCCAAAGTTCAGTGCTTAACTTCCTATTCCCGATGCGCACTCTATTACTCAAATGAATGCAAATGTTCATTACTGAGAATGTGCTTCCAATTCTACATGATGGATGGATCCATTCTTTACAATCCTATTTTCACCTACTTTTCTTCCAATATTTTCTAGTCTGCCTTCATTCTTATCAAAGATTTCAAAAGCAGAAACCAAATTTTGGTTTGATTATGAGTCTGATGGAGGGAACATATCTCCTAGATGACACTAAATTATATCACTAATAGTGATTATGTTTAAAATAATAATTTTTGCCTCTTCTCTCGTGATTTTAACATTAGCATTAAAAATGTCTAAGTCCTAAAATACAACTAATATACTTTATCATCTTTATTGTAGGCAGTGGTTATGAACATGGACTTTGGCATCCTAGGTCTGGGGCTCATTGTGGGACCCTGAGCAAGTTATTTTACCATTTTAAACGCTAGTTTCCTCAACTGGTAAAAGAGCTAGTACCTTTCCTCCATAAAATTGGCTGTGAGGATTAAATGGGATGATACACATAAAGTATTGAGCAAAGTAAAAGCTCAATAAAAATTAGCCACATATTGCATCTATAATACCTCTGTTAATATCTTTACAGTACAGGGAAAGTCATTAAAATACATTCCTCTGTTTCCAAACACTCAGGGATTAGGCTGAAATTTAATTCTGCTTGATGAGAAGAAAGGAATCAAAAAGGAAAAGATTTCACAGGAACTACTCAGGAACACAATTTATTTTAAGAAGTGATTATTCCATTGACATTGTCATCACAAATGTATTCAATAGATGTCAAAAAGCTTAAGTTGCTAGCTTAAGGAGCTGCATTATTTCAAGGTAGTACAATCTAGTAAGTACCACAAAATATCCTTTTGAAAAATTTCACTGTCTTTTCTTTACTCAGTCCAAATTAATGGCAGTTTTGGTACATGCTTCTCCTTGAAGCCCAGTAATAACTATGTATTTCAGGATTAAAAATGTCATTCTTAAATATGAAAACGTCCAACTTAATTATCCCTACATATTGCTTAATACGGCTTAGATATATAAAAGGCACACTTCTCCAAGGCTAAATGTAAATGGCTAAGGGATTTGGACGCCCGAGACAGATTTGTTAATTGGGTTAATGCCAGTGATAGACTCAGGTGCCTGTTGGTGGCAGCAGTCACTCTGAAAGGCCTGTGTTGGGCTGGACTGGTCCCAGCTATTCTCCCCAGGGGTTTTAATGCAGTTAACCAAGTGTACCAACATCCTCTTCCCTTGTTTTTATTAAGGCAGACTAGAAGCTACCAGTCTTGGCTACTCTAGAATACACCTAATTACTTGCCAAGGTGATCCCTCAAACAAAAGGCTGATCTTTGTCAATGAAGTAGAGCACCACCAATTGGGTTACTTTTCCATTATGTGTTTTTTGGCAGGAGAAGATGCTAGTAATGGAGGCTAGATTGGAACATGTCTTTACAATATCCTTTTAACAATGACACTATGCTGAATTTGCACTGGTCAAAATAACTCTGTAACAGGAAGAAGGACAAACCTATTTTCTTTTATAAACTCTCACACTCATGGTGAAACTGAGTCCTATTTAAATGTTCGTTTTTAATTAGAAAAATCCTTCTTATTTACCTTCATTCTACTTGAGTATATGTGTAATTTTTCCTAACAGGGATTAAAATAATTTTTTTAGGCTATGATATTTACCTTTGCAACATTCCATACATTATGTATGTTGTACTTGGATTGCACTGGTACACTATTTAGGATATTAATTACTCCCTTTTGTAAGTTATAACAATGAAGAATGTATTTTAAAAGATCTGAAATATTCACAATAGAAAATAATTGTTATATTTATACTATTATGTTATTACTACTTTATCTTCCAGAGTAGAATAAATGTTAATACCAATTTGCCTACATTATTAAATTCCTCATTAGGAAAAAAATCCTTAAAAATGTCAATCTGGTTTGATTCCAAATGCCAAGAATCACTTTGTAAATGTGAGTTATTTTCTAACATTCACAAAATATCTATCTTTTGATGTAAATAAGTTCATTTCAAAGGTCATGATTTGACCCACAAGATACCCAAATTCACAGGAGGCACATTATTAAAGGGTTGGAGGGTGGGAATCTAGTGTTATTAGTCTGAAGTAAAAGCAATATATTTTCTATCACTTAAAAGCAACAGATTATCATGTTTCCTAAGAATTAGATTAAACCCAGCAAAAATTTTGCTATGTTCACTTTATCTCACTGTGTTTTTACTCTTATTAAAGTCAAGGCCTTCCTAACAAACCAGCATCCAGACTTTGCACCTAGAGAATTCCACCTGGGACAACAAACTGCACAGGGCTTCTTAGACCTATTTAGCGAGTTTAATTACTTTTAAAATAAGGGCTTTCCATTGACCTATATTTGAGGTGAGTACAACAGCACAAATGAAACAGCACTTTATCATTAGTGCAAATCAATGAAGCATACAGCATTCTCTCTTCAGATTCTTGACAGTGCTACCTCCACAAACCTATAGCTATCACACTCTATTCTCTTCCTTACTGGTTGACAGATTAAAAAAACAAAAACAAAAAACAAAGCCACAGCTCAAACTCTAGGAAAACAAGCCTTGCTTGCCAAAAAATCAACTGACTTGTGCAATGTTCCTAGGCAATTTGGAACCAGCCTAACTCTTGGAACAAATCTGAGATAAATTCACACTAAAGTTCACACTAAAGTACTCTAGTTAGGTTGGTATATTAGTAGTGTAGTGGAAGCACACTTTTATACTACTTTTCCAAATCTATCACCTCTCCAAACAAGTTACATAGCCACAAATCAGTAAGTTAAATGTATCCTTAGGGCAGGTTGTTTTATATGCTCCAAATTCGGTGTGTTTTTAATTTTTAAGAAGAACTCAAAACAACCCCTACAGCTTGTGCTATGTTAAAGGGTCTACTGGGTTTTGTTCTATTAATCTTTAAGGGAAATCCACTGGAAACTGCTAAATAAGAAGGACTGGTTTGTGTTTTGTTTTTAAGGGCTTTGGAGGCAACAGAAAACTTGTGCCTCACATCCCCAGTTACAGCCTCTTTCTCAACATTTTTCTTTTATTAATGTACAAAAAAAAAAAAAGACTTGCCTTGTGAGGTCGAAAATAGAGATACAGGCTGAGAGGAAGAGGAAGAAACAAAGGAATCTGAAAGAAAATATACAGCATGAAAATGTGACAACCTCACACAGGAATTTTAACTTTCCCTTTATTTTTTTGGCCAAGCATCATAACCTCATTGGGTTTAAATAAGAGGGGAAAACCTAAATCTTCATTTCCAATTACTGTTTTCACTCACCTGGCAGCAAAACCTTATTTCATTTTTAAGATGCACTTCTGAAAGTTGACCAATTCAGTTTTTTTGGTCAAATATTCTCACCTTCAAAAGAAGAAAAGAGGAACCCCTAGCATTTTTAAACACGTATAACCTCAAGAAAGATGGTGCTCCCCTGAAAATTTATGTGGGTAAGGAAAAACAGGTATCTGAGTGCTAATTGTTACTTGCTTTTAGCCATTTTCAACCTGCATTCTGAGTTAGTTACTATTATGAACATTTCAACATACATAGTTGGCAAATAGGCAAAGCTGACTCTGCATTAAAAAAAAAAAATCACAATTAATCCACTGGGAAAACAGGACTATGTAAGAAATCTTCCATCTAAAATTATACTCCTCTAAATTTGGCAACATATATTAAAATTTTAAAGGCATATATACTTCCCCATCAGCCCCTGCACATATGCATTAACTTGGCAGTTATACTTCTGAGAATTTCACTTACAGATATATTTGCATACATGTACAAAGACATGTAATTGAGGACATTCATGAGCACTGGTTAAAAATACTAGGAATAATCTAAATGACCATCAAGAGAGCACTAGTTAGTTACGTGCAGACAAAGGAAAACTTGCTGCTATGAAAAAGAGTAAGGTAAAGCTATATATGGCACATTAAATTGAAAAAGCCAAGCACAGAAGTGTATACACTGTGCACCCATTTGTTCACTGGGCAGCAAAAGGGACTGAGCTCTGGGGTGGGAAGGAGACTGGCTTTACTACAACCTTTCACCCTTAAAAAAAAATTTAAAAAACCCAATAATATAAATTACCTTTTCAGTAAAAATGGAAAAAATTTAATAGCACGTGAAAAACAAAATCCTCCAAAAATGCCCTAAATATATGGTCCTTACTTACTAATTCCTCTTTTACATGCAATTATATAAATGTTTCCACATTTATTTTAGAAATATATTCAAATTGTGGAGATTACATTCAAGGACTGGGCCATAGCTGTTATTGTTAAGTACTAATTTTAGAAAACTACTGAGTTAACAAATATGGAGCACATAAACACCAAGGCAGAATGTAGTGGACAACAGGCAGTAATTCAGTAACTCAAGACCAGAATTAAAAAATTCACTGCTTTTTAATCATTTTAAAAGGAGGCATCACATTTACTCCTATATGTGAAAAACAGTTCTCTTTTTCCTTTTTTAAGTAAGCATTTCTATTTCCCTAAAGTTTCCTGCTGATTCAGTCCTACATGCATTTACCTTCAACATTAAATCTCTGCCAACTTCTGAGTTTAAATAAAACTCAAAAACGAAACGCTAAGTAAGCTCAATGCCAAAAAAAAACACAACACATCCTATGAATTTGCCTTTTCACCTCCACCTACCACTCCTGCCTAATGGAAAATTTCAACATACAAATGTTTATGCATACCATCTATTCTGATATGGAACACAGATAACCAGTAACAGTTTGCAACAATATACACAAGGTCTAACTTACAAAACCACCTTGTATTCATATTCCATATTTATGCTACAGAGAACTGAACCCAGGAATGGGGATCTTAATTCTCAAAGGCTATTAACTCAAATAACTCAAACATGTTTCGGTAGCTAGGTCCAGGCACCATATTAGCACTGGTAATACAGAGATGAAGTTTAGAAGTTTTGCTCATAAGTAACTGAAAGAAATACAAGCGGAAACTGTATGTATGAGCTGTGGGAATGTAGGAGAGACAGTCAATAGAGTAAACTGCAGAAGACACAGTGAACTTGGTTTTAAAGGATTGTGAACAAGGTAGAGGAAGGCATTCCGGAGAGAAGGAACAACTGGCCAGATTACAGATGCCTTTAATATGTAATTAAATCTGGATTATACCCTATGTGCAATGAAGAGTCACTGAAAAGTTTCAGGTAAGGGACTGACAGTACCACGTTTGTTTTAAGAACTCTAGCAGCAGGGCAGAGCGCAGACTTAATCCAAAAGTTACTGCACAATTTTAGCAAGACATGAGGGCTTGAACTAAGGCAGCAAGGATGGGAATGAGGGAGATTTGACAAGACAATGGACAGGACTTGGAATCATTTAGATGCTGGAATTAACGTCTGGGGAGTTAACACTTGTGTGAGAATTGACAACACTGGGCTGAATGAATGTGCCCAGGGAGAATCAGAGAGATTTTACAGTGGAATCGTGAGATGAACCAATATTTAAAGAGGAACAAGAAAGAACCTCGAAGGAGACAGAAAGGAGTCAATATAGAGGGAAAACTGTGTCACTTGGAGAACTTTAGAGAATGATTGTTTAACAAAGTCAAAAGTCAATGAGTAATTGAGACTTTAAAATGGGTCACTGAAATTAAGTAATCAAATAACTTACCGTTATTGGCTCTATAGTTAGAGTGGTGATGGTGACAAAGGACAGACACTTAAGACTGAGGCGTGAATGGACCTTTAAAGAGCACTGATACCATGTACGGGAAGAGTGGATGTTACAGGGAAGGAGTAGAAACTGCGTAGCCGTTAGGGGGAGAGGTAAAACTAGAGGGAAAGATTTTTTAGAATGGAAATGACTTACTCATATTTGGGAAACGAAGGAAGGAGCAAGTAGAAGAAAGTCTGACGACACATAAAAAAACAAGTATTTGCTTAATAACATGGATAACTGAACCACTGTTTTGTACATGTGAAACCAACATTAAGATTGTGTATCAACAATATGTCAAAAAAAGAAAAATCTAAAGGAAAAAAAGGATTTGCAGGAACAAAGCCCAGGAAGTTACTTGAGATAAGGGATATAAAAGCCTGAGTGGACCTGCTGAAAAATCTAGTTCCAATAAATAGCCAGTCAGCTGTGCAACTGTAAGATTGTTCATCAGAAATAGTTGGGAGTTTTTAGGAAACTTAATTAAGGTCTGTTAGGGACCGACTAAATAAGTTTTGGTATATCCAGACCATGGTATACTATTCATTAAAAATTGTGGTGTAGATAAGAATTTATTGACACTAAAAGATATTCCTGATACACTGAATAAAAAACATTACAAAAGTAATTGAAATAATGTGACTCCATTTTGGTAAAAAACACAAATTCAAATTAATTATAACTAAAGAGATAATATTTAGTTATAGAGTAGAGAGGGATTATGAGAATTAAATATATTTTTGCTTCTCTGTGTTTGAGATTTAGAAAACTATGAACATGTATTATTTCACAACAGAGCCTTTTTTAAAATTACAAAATGAAAGGATATATATGAAAATGTTAACTGGGTGGTCACTTATTAATTTTCTTTATATTTTTGGTTTCCGAATATTTCTATTATGAACATACATTTTTATTGTAACTCATAAAACATACCTATTTCCCCCATCTACATGGAATGGGTTAACTACCTTAGATGGGGAAAAGGATACCTAAAATGGGATCTCAAGCAGCTCTTTCAATAAAACTGTTTAGTGAATAATCTTATTAGTCTTCACACTACTGGATTTTTAATCCTTGTAATATTTTAAGCTGCAACAAACTGCCAAACCCACAAAGAAATATTCTGCCCCTTTGAAAACAGGGCTTCCATAACATAACTGTCCATCAACAGATGAATGGATAAAGAAGACATGGTACATATACACAATGGAATCTTATTCAGCCATAAAAAGGAAATCTTCCCATTTGCAATAACATGTATGAATCTAGAGGGTATTATGCTCAATGAAATAAACCGGGGGGGGGGGGAAATACCAAATGATCTCACTTATTTATGGGGTATAAAAAAAGCAAAACAGAAGGAACAAAATAGCAGTAGACTCTTAGACCCCAAGAAGGGACTAGTGTTACCAAGGGGAGAGGACAGGGAGGTTTGGGGGAAGTGGGAAGGGGACAAAGGGGCACAACAATTCATAACCACAATATAAGTTGATCATGGGGATCAGTGATTCTGTAACATCTTACTACGTTGGTAGACAGTGACTGCACTAGAGGGCGTGAGGATTTAGTAATATGAGTAACTGTTGAACCACTGTGTTGTGTATCAGTGATACTCTAATTTAAAAAAAGAAGGGGGAGGTACTTCCATTTACTTACTGGGTCCTGAATATTTGTGATAGACACTGGGCTAAATATATATACACACACACACATGCATTAAATCAAATCCTTACTAACTTCATTCATGATAAAAAACCTGAAGTTTCTAGAGGTCAGAATCAAGATATAAATCCAAACTTTTTCTGAAAGTCTGCGCCTTTCTTTCTTTTTCTACCAGTCAGGTCACTTGTCCTTACATTGCTTGTCTGAAATGTATGTGCCACTTACTTGAGAATTTGTTAGTTAAGGGTATATTTTAAAATTCCATTATACCAGTAATATAAGACCCTATCTTTTATACCTTCTCTCCAGCAGCATACTGAGTGGGTGAGAAGTACAAAAATTGAGCCAAAATAGCAAAAAGGCACACTAGCGCAGGTTTTCAAATTTGGGTCAAGCCTGTGCTAGATGTGTTATTAGGGGGAGAGGAAGAGAGAAGCTTCGGATTGGACAAGAGATTCAAGTTTTGATTTACACCCAGAGAAAATACAGCAAATAAATATAATTGTATTAATTTTCTAACCCCCAGTAAAAGTACCAATTCAATGAAATCTTCATTTTGGTGATGACTCTCCTTAACACCAGCAGAATACAGGCTGTATTTTTAGAGAAGCAAGCTACTTTCTGGAAAAACTTTGTAGAATGACTTATTTAACCCCACCCTTTTCTTTTGTATTAGTTTCTATAAACCACTAAAGCATCTTCCAATAATAAGGAAAAATAAAGTGTTTGAACTTTTATCTAAAATTAACATAATGAAAATTA